TTGTTCCTGTGGTTCTTGAAATATAATGAGTCATCACCTTTTGTATTTTCCAGATGGCCTATGAACTGGAGCCTTTCTGTGATAGCCAGTGGGATGCCAAAAGCTCTAGGGAATTTTTTGGCTCGTGGGATGGGGTGTACAAGAACCTCTCGCTTCATCATCAGTTGGATCAGAAACAAATAGAAAAGATATTTATCCGGGTGAGTCCCCCACGTGTATGCACAGCCTTGTTCAGGAGACCCATCTGCCTTTACCCAGGTTCTAAAGATCTTCTTTCAAGAGAGGCACCATCTGGTTTTGCAGCTGGACAGTGCCTTGTCAAAGGCACCATGGTTTTCCAGGCTGGCCCAAAGGAAAGCCCCCAATGGTGTCATTCTTCCAACAGATGATGAGCTGTTTGAGTGGCTGAATGACAAGTATGAGCATTGCAAGCCTGCGCGGACATCCAAGGACCATCTCTTTACCTCAGAGATGTCTGATTTCTTCAAGCTGGCCAGACTGGCTCACAGTCGTCTTGCGTATCCTCTGGAGGTCTCAAACAGGGGCTATCAATCAGACTGGTTCCAGAAGCTAGAAGCTGATGAAGATGTGCTCAAGGCTATCAAGAAACCTGGCAAGCCCAAGGACTACTATGATTCTTGCCTCAACATCATGCGCTGCGACCTCTGGCCCCTGATCAACTCTGCCATGTGCCACACTGTCCACACCCTGCTCTGGCCAGTTGCTAACGAAGTGGGTAATCGTGACGGTACAGCTGCCACCAGAATGGCTCGTCTAATGTGGCTGCATGAGGAGGTCTTCTCTTTCTACTTTGGTCATGAGGCAGCCTGGCAGCTAAAGGAGGCTGTCTTCTCCCATGCTATCAAGCCCCTTGTGAAAGACGCTACTATGGAACAGTTCTTTTGGGACTCTTATGCAGAAAGGCCTGAGGAGACTATTGAGGTGGAAGATTCCAATACTGCCATCGGCATCTCAGAGTCAGCAAGCCTCCAAGAGCAGCAGGCCAAGGCTCTGCAAAAGGTCTTTTCCTTGTTCAAGACACCAGGGTTGGGTGGGGTTCCCAGAGATGGTGGCTCTGCTGTGTATCATCCAGAGATGGCCAAAGCTCTCATCAAGTTTGCCAAGGTGAGTGAATACAATGAGCCATGACTTGTTGTATTTTTACTGATTTCTTGCCCTGAAGAATGTCGCTCCATTCTTTATAAAAGAGGATGTCTTCTACGCTAACAACAAGACTGGGCCTCCTCATGATGTCTCAGAAGCTGAGGTAGAGTGGTGGCTGGGCAAGCATGGGTTTACCAAACTCAAGGTGGCTTCCAAAGAGCAAGTGGAGGCATATTGGAAAGAAGATCAGGAAGACTCTGAGGATTCCCCAGTTGTCCTTGTGGCTCCTCCTCCCCTGCCTTCTGAGTTTAAGAAGATTCAGAAGAGGAAAGAGGCACATGAAAAGGTGATGGCAAAACTGATGCATGGTCCCATGAATTTTGTCCCCTGGATCAAACCTGGCAAGCAGGCTCCTAAAGCCTCATCTGCCTCCACCACTTTGCGAACTTCTTCTGGTACCAGCTCTCCTGTCTCTCCACCTGATCCTGATCAGCCTGGTGATCCCAAGGAGGGCTCCTCAGAGGCTACTGGCCTTCAGAAGAAGAGAAAGAGGGCCAATCCTCCCAAGGCTACCAAGACCAAGAAAGGCAAAAGCAAGACAGCAGCCAAGCAGCAGCCCAAGTCAGCTGAATTTGTGGAAGACAGTGACTCTGAGGAGGAGCAACCCTTGGCCAAGATGGCCAAGGGTCAGCCCAAGTCAGCAGAATTTGTAGAAGACAGTGACTCTGAGGAGGAGCAACCCTTGGCCAAGGTAGCCAGGATTGGCAATGCTCAGGGTGGCAAGGCAGGTCAAGATGGAGCTGGAAAGGTAGGACCTCAGGATGGCATTGTGCCAGAGTTGCAGCCACAGCCATCTGCCAACCCAGGGCAAGATACACAGACTCTTGGTCAGTCATTCCTCTTGCTCCCTCCATCTGTTTCAGTGGCACTGACATTCATGAAACTCAGATGGAATGGAGATCACTTATGATGAGCAAATGGATGAGGAAGTCATCAAGGAACTAGAGGGTGAGGTACAGCAACAGGCTCAGCCCAAGCCTCCCTCTTGTCAGTGAAAATATGACACTTGGATTGGTTTATGACATTTCTCAGTTTGTTACACAGCTCTTGAGCAACTTGACACTTCTGTTCAGGATGTCCACACCCTTACTGTAACAAGGATAATAGGTAGAATTCTGCTGTAATTACTCAGACCAGTGGTTGATCACATGTAATTGTTCAGCTCCATTTCTCTCATGGAAAGGTCCTTATCAGGTGCCACTCCAGCACATTTTGGATATGCAGAAAAGTGGTATTTTTGGTGCGCACCCGTGGCTATTGACTCTCTTCTGCCCAGTGTTCTGACACTTTTTCCAGGCTGTGGCTTACCCCTAGGTATGAAAATTCGCATATGATTTTCAAATATATAGGTTTCCCTTCATGGAACACTTCTTCTTCAAGGTGATGTAGTCCGCATCAAGAAACCAGGATGTATGTTTGCGCTTGTCTGTGCATTATTTGTCCTGGTTGCTGATGTCACATTCTTTCAAAGATAATAGTCCGTTCCAAAGACCCACCTCTGATCCAGCCTTTCACATCACTGCTCTTATGAGGGCTATCATGCTGAGTGCAACATATATGGTTTATCAGGCTGGGTGTACCTGGCCTTTCAGTAAGTCCCTCAGAAGATCATGGCTGAATCAAGGCGTAATGAAGCATTGCTGCAGAGAGTCCAGTTGGCGGGCCTCCTGCCAAGCAATTTGCCTACTGTGCGGAGTTTGATGGTGAGTGGCGTTCATGCTAGTTGTGACAAATATCCCTCTCACTTTGATTGTTAGCGATCAAACTTGTTCAAGAACAGTATTTTCCAAACAGTCCCATGATTGAGCCTGCAGATATTCCACTCCGTACTTTGGACAATCCACCTTGGGACGAGTGGGAATTCTGTTGCGTCCCTGACTATTCTGAGCAGCTAGCAGGGTTATATGAGGATGCCTATGAACATCTGCTTGCAAGTCTGGGGCTGGTGGAAAGTGATAAATACAGCCTTGTCCAAAGGTTCCCAGCACCGGTTGCAGAAGACTTCACACGCCGCCTCTACCGCTACACCCTCTATCGATCACCTCAAGTTTTGCACGAAATGGCGGAAAACCCAGGTACTGTCTTCTTAGGCCTGCGGCGGGTTGCCATTATAAACATGGTCTTGCTCGGTATGTTTGCATTGCCTTCAAGGGTCCTACAATGGGACTCACACCTTTTCCCTCACCTTTGTTCCTCCATAGCTCACCCATGCTTTCCACCTGAAGCATATCAGGACAACAGAAGAGAGCATGGACAGGCTCAGCATTCCATGGGACCCAGCATCAGCGGATCAAAGACAGACATAGGCCACCACGCCACCATACGATAAAGCACCAGGCACATGCACACCAATGTCCCCTTCCACTCTAGTTCCCATCTCAGCTAGCTATCATGACATGACCCTACAATCCCAACAAGTGCTGTATGTTGTGTGCAATGTTATTCATGAATGTGATGTCAACCTTGAAGTGAAAGCTTTGCTTGATAGCCTTTGCACGCATGGCTTATATAATGTCAGTATGCAACTTCTAAATCAGAAATACAACAGACAATCCCTATTTGTATTTTTATGTGCTCCTAAAGTTGCTTGCATTTCATGCTTCTGACATTTGTAAGCCAGTGTATGACGCACCCAATGGCTTTACCAATTTTGGTGGACTGCCTGATTCAACCACTCGTGAACAGCAACCAACACGGCTGTGACTCACTTTGGTGCATCATCTCGCCCTCATTCATTGGCCACAAACAACGTGAATTAAGAAGCAGCAGGCTCAAGTCCACAGTTCATTTTCCGTGCATTTCCAACAAACTAGGTGTTGGTTGGAGACAAACCTGCAACGAGTTCAATGTGGCTGCCTGAATCACCCAATGGCAACACTCACAAGCAAGTCTTGTTATGCACCGAACATGCCCATGTTAACGGTTTATTTTCTGCACATTTACAGCGCACTGCCTGATGTTGGAGGCAGAATTGCACCGACTTCAATATGAATTCCTGAATCATGAAATTCCTACACTCACAAGCCAGTCTTGTTACGCACTGAACACGCCCATGTTAACCGTTTATTTCCTGCACATTTGCAGTGCACTGCCTGACATTGGAGGTGTCGATTGGAGGCAGAACTGCACCGATTTTAATGCAGTTTTTTGAATCACCCAATTCTCAGGGGTCCGAAGAAGTCTCATTAAGCAGTGAACATGCCCATGTTGGTGTCATGTCCCTGACTATTTCAAGGAACTAGCAGGGTTTTATGAGAATGCGTATGAACATCTGCTCACACGTCTCAAGCTGGTCAAAAGTCACAAATACAGTCTCATTCAGAGGCTACTACTGAAAGTTGAACGACATTTTACACGTTGCCTTTACCACTAGACTCCATTGCCTCAGGAAATCCCAGTCACAGCCACTTTGGGTCTTTGAAGCAGACCTCAGGAAGTCCATCATTGCTGGTGTAGATACCCGTCATGGTCTCCATGGCCTCCATGGCTATGAACATTAGCAATGGAGGGTGTAACACCTGCCCAAGTATCACCACCATACAGATTGTTACAGTATAAGTTGTTGCGTGACAGATGTATAACCTCCAAATAGGAAATACAAAAGAGAACGCCCTCTGTATTTTTGTGTCTGTATCATCTTGCCATTTCCAGCATCTAGTATTTATAGAGAGTCCCTCTGACAAGTCTCAGGTTTTTTCAACCGCTCCATCAACTTCCAGCATAGCATACCTCCTTTGGCAGCCACCAGTGGTACTACAGCTCTCTAGTGTGCTACGTCTTTCAGATCAAGTTTCCCCAGCTTGAGTTGGTATCCTAGGGTCCTACTATACCTTTGCGGATATTGTCCACATCCGCAGACCACTCTTACCCCTCTGACTTTTCAGGCTTTCAAATTTATGTTGCTCTGCAGCTGTCAATTGTGCAGTTATGTTAATTGCAGAATCCTACCACCAACCTGGACTGCAGAGTGTATCTTATGTGTATCAGCAGTGTCTGTCACCTTCAACGCTTTTCCTGGGACATGAGTGTGCTAAAAGTTAAGTCTCAACGCATATGTTCTCTATTCAGGATGACTACAAATGAGCCACACTATTTTCTTGTTATCAAATAGACAAATTGGCCAGATTTCCTGGTCCTAAAACATGTTTAGAATATGACGTTGTTGCAAATCATCCAACCCAATCATAACCAAGCCCTGTATCATGGCATGCGTAACAGGGCCGATGTGCTCAGGATTATTCAACCAGAGGTGCCTCCTCTCAGTAGATGA